TAACTCTTTCCTGTGGAATTGTCGACGCAGACTCTGGGGCCCCCTTTACAACGGTAGACGAAGATAGCGAGACCAGCGACACGGTAATGATCACCATATATAATCGGCGTATTACGTAGTAGAACGAACCTCAAACGATTAACAAAGACCCCAGTGTGATACAAGTCGTTATATGCAAGACGAACATCTGTCGTGATAACTTGGTCCTCGTGATCAGCCCAGTGTCGGTATGGAGTTTAGCCAGAGTACCGTTTCTCGGACTCAGTGTCAACGTTTTAATTTGACCTCTATAGCGCTTTCAAGTAAGTCCAATCCAACCTCTTTGTAGGGTTACTTGATATGTTGGGCTTGAAAACCAGGTAGTGTGTGGGCCTCGTAGACGGACTGTATTATTTTGTCGGGTCACCGTGAAACGTTGCGTCCCCGGGCACCCTGACTATTCCACGTCCAAGACCTAAGAGGGGGAAAAATGAGAGAATTTTGTAGATGCTTTAAGGTCATGCTATTGCTAAATAAATCACCAACCCGCGCTGACTATACTATGGGTACACTTACGCATCGCCGATTGATACGGCGAACAGCCACTATCTCGTTGAAGTTATTTGGAAACCTTGTACATTTCTAATCCTTTTCTTTTTATAATGCTCATGCCGACATTTCTTTCTTTTATTGAAGAACTTCTTTAGGTATTCGCAATTATTGTACATTTGAATAAAGGCATTGTCTTTATTTATTTGAACCAATCTGTGAGCTTGAAAAGTGAACGAATAAACGCGTAAAAATAATGCAATAATTTGAAATTTTCCAAATGATGTGAGTTATTGTGCATATAAACATGAAGCAACCGGAGGAGGACGACTTTTGTCCTGGGTCCATTCATTGGGCGAAGGTGGGCAGCCACCCCTGGTGGCCGTGCATTATTCACAACAGTCCAAACGGCGAGGGTTTTGTCAAACTGTTTAAAACGTGCGAAAAATATCATGTGCAATTTCTCGGTCCTGTCGTCGAGCGAGCCTGGGTATCTAGCTTCAATCTCATCCCATACCAAACCCATCAAAATCTGGAAAGGCAGTTGAAAGATTTGCAGGCGGCATGGCCGGTAAGTATATTCTGAGCTGTTCTTATTTTTCAGGCACTTAAAGCAAAGTATGAAATTAAAGTTCCAACAAACAGGAAGACATGG